ATGTAATTTTAGCTCAACTTTTTCTTTGTAAACTCCTCGTCATTTTTGGAAATAAAAGACACCATTTTGCATGGAATCCCACCCACATATGTTTCATTTTTCATCAGCAAGGTTTTCAGTGTCAAACATTATATTTCAGATGTTCTCGACAGTATTTATTTTGTAGCTTTACCTTTCCAGGATGCTCTTCCTATAACACTCTTTTGTTGGTGTTTTCATCCAATGGTCCATCCTTATTCAATTTCTCAAACATTTTTGGAAATCAATAACCTAATAATATGCATGACTTCAATATTAATAAATAAACATGACAGCTTTATTTAAGGGTGAAGTCTAGCAGAAAATGGAATCCTATCCTTGTAATAACTGTTAAAGAGCAATATTTGTTTCTCAGGGGGATTCGTGTGTCACTTACGTAAGCCCTTTATGTTGTCGAATAAACACTGCTGTGTGTTGCTTTAATTAATCTCTCTAATATCAATAAGCTATACAAAAGCATTGCATGGAAAGATGTAAGTAAATGTTTCGACTACCCAGCCTTATGTCTATCAAAGGTTTGTATAAAAAAGTGTTTTGAATCTTTATGACATTATGTGAGTTGGTGTATCTTTGATGCTAAGCTAGGAGGTCTCATCTCCTTGTCTCAGCACGATACTTGGCGAGGTTGGAGAGAGGAGAGGTAATTATTTGCACCTTAAGATGAATGCAATGTTTACTAAAGGCATAACTTTGAGGATGTCTCTCATTACTGCACCTATTTCCTGTGTCCAGTCTGGCTGGCCAAATGGGGTGTGGCTCTTTTGGAGCACTAGGTGATGCTAATAAGGCTATAGAATATGATTACAATGAATATATCTCATGTTCTTTCCAAGGAGAGTGTTATTCCACTAAGAGCATGTTGAGAGGATTAATGTATGCATCCGACTCATTGACTTCCTTCAGAGGGTCAGTGTATAGAACCAAAGGATGCTGTGCCTTTGAAAAAATCAATCTGATGAGAATTAATCTCTGTCTTGAATCTATTTTTCTCTCACAGGATATCACATTTCACAATAATATCACATATCACAAAATAAAACAAATCATTTACAACTGTAGTCATCTGTGAACTCAGCCCTCTGCCTATTGAAGCCAAACACTGGCCACAATTCCACAGTAAGGAATGTGATGCGGCAGAATCAGTTACACAGTCATCCTTTTTTTAGGAAATATTTCTTGGAATCTACAAACAGTGAACATTTGCTTGAACAACAGAAACAGTCACACTAACAGATGCAAGTCGTGTTTGACCATTACACACATTCATCCTTTCCAATACGCATTCGTTACCTGCAGCCCACGTAGAGATACATTATAAAATCAACATAGACATGTTTACACAAAGTGTACAAACACACATACTATCTCTCACTACGCACAGGACAGGTTTTAACTATCAACCTTTCTGAATAAACCATTGTTTTTCTTGAGGCTTGATGACAATGCTAAGCTGGGTCAGGGATTTAAGCTGCTCTGTTACAAAGACAGCATTAGAGCTGGAGAAAAACGAAATAAGGAGAGGCTGCATAGTGAACATATAGATAGATTCCACGGCTAAAACTGCAAACCATGACAGTGCTCATCAGTACTTACCTTTACATCTATCAAACTCAGTGAGGCGGGTCAGACCGACCTTGGTGGTCCATCTGAGTGGTCCAGTGGATCAATGCACAACGCATTTACATCTGACTTGACATTCTAACCAACCGCCTGACCTGCTTGTTGTAATGGCAGTTGGACCCTACTCAGCTTTCATGAATGTGTGCTAGAAACCTTCAATGGTGCCCACCTGTCACCAAAAAGCAGCCACACCCTTATTTATGCATTACTTAGAGTCTAATAAAATTGATACAGGTAAGTTGTTAAAAATATCAAAGTCATGGACAGGAAAATTAGCTTTGTAGGACAAAAACGTTTTTGTTGTATTTGGCAGTAAAATTATTTTGCTGCTGTAAAGTTAGACAGATACAAGCTTCAACAGTCTCTTATGGATTCTCAGAGATTATCCTGTAATGGGGTCATATGCTGGATGAACTAACTTTCAGGAAGGCGTGACATATGCAGGTCACCTGTGGGAACAAGCATTAATAAATAAAAACTTGCAGTCAGAGTGCATTATACATGGGTGCTGTAACAAATGTAAAGTATAGAGGGCTTATGTCTTTGAACAATAAAGGAGACACATTCTTACAAATGTCATCATTGCCGCTCTCAGTGTTGATACTATCATGAAAAGAGTTCTCAAACTGTTTTGGGAAACAGCTTTTCTTACACTGTTCCAAAGTGAAGTGCTACTCTCCCCCTTTCTCTGAAACAGCAAAGTGTTAAACTTTGTAAAGAAGAAAAAAAAACACCAATTCTGACGGCAACATGGAACAAATGATGTGGGAGACAAACAACAGGCAGGTAAAAGTAGCGATGAAAGAGGTGACTGTTTGCTGCTGGAAAAGAATCCTGTGTATTAAAGGTAGGGTAGGTAATTCACTTCAGAAACACTTTTTGTTATATTCCATGGAATGCTCTTAACATCCCGATAGCAATGAATACATTAAATGCTTTGACAATACATACATACAAAAATGTCATCTGTGGAAGCCGTGGCACTGTAAAAAGCACGACCAATCATCTGAGCCGGCCCGAGTCAGATAATTGGATGGTGTACCTGCCTGTCAGCCTTCCATCTCGTGCACGAAATTATCTCTTGCCCTCATTGGTCATGTGCGCGTTCGTGTGTGTTGGAGGAGGGGCTCTGTAAGGAAGTACGGCTGCGTACTTTCAAATTCTAGCACACTCAAGCTGGTTACTCCATTCTTACTTACCCTACCTTTAAGTGAGAACAGATTTTTTTTGTCTTCATTTTCTCTCCTGAAAGAGGTAGTAATGGGAAAAAAAAGCTCATTCAGACTCCTCATGGTCTTTCTTCATGGCTCAAATTTCTTCTAAAAGTGTAACACATTTGTATTGCTCAAGGGGAAGAAGAAGAGAAATCAGAGAGTATAGGAAAAGGAAAAAAGAAAAAAGAAAAAATGGGTTAAATGGCGTAGTCAGGACGAGGCCTTCTCTCTCTTATTACCACTTGAAGAAAGGCCATTGCCATTAGATTGAAATTTAATTTAGGAAATAGTGTTTTAATGCAGCTGTTCACCAGAAGCCCATTCCAAATACACTTTCTGTCAGTGTGTTTTCTGAGGGCCATTTAATTGGGCTAATGAAGAAAGCTGCTAATGGCTGGGTTTATCTCTGGAAACACTGTGACATTTCATCAAGGCAGGTGATTTTGGAGGCATTGTTTAAACTCACTGTTCATTGCATTGTTTACAACAACAAAAGATACACTGTTATTTGGGGAAATTATGAAAAAAACATGTTTTGGCAATACTGAAGCCTTGAGTAAATCTGGTGATTTAACTTCATTCAATAGCAGATTGGAATGTTTTGTCGTTATTATCCACATGTTCTTAATCATATTTTCAAAAAACATCTGTCTTGTTGCCGACTGAAGACTTCAGAGGAAGGTACACTCTGTGAACAAAATATGCAGCACATTAAAAAAACAATCTCACACACACATGCACACGCAACAAATCACACATTATATGCAGAAAGAGACAGTGATGTGACATTTACCTTCATCGGTTATCAACATCTTGACATTAGTACATCAAACCTGCTGTTTCGTAATGAGCTTTGGTCGCCTCCTGACTAACGAATGATTCTGACACTTATGTCATTCCCTCCTGTCAGAGAGAAAGGTCAGTGGGAAAGTCAAAGAGGTTGAGATCCATGTTTATACATTGATCGACCACAAGACTACTCAACAAAGCTGACGTTGAAATAGCAATACCAAATGAAGGGTATGGTTGAATATGGACAAAACTGCTGCTTGTGACAACAGTCAAGGATAAAAGTTATCAGGGCAGTGAAGTGAAGGTTATATGGATATGTAATAACTTGTGATGTATTTTAAATGGTAAATCAAACCAATATAGTGGGCATGGAGCCTCAGTCACAATATGTCCACACAGAAAGATTGTAAGAAAGCTTTGATTACTCTCTGCACAATGATGCACTACTCATTAATTCACCATGACATAAGAAGAAAGAAAAGCTTAAAATCCGCAACTCTTAACAGCTAGAAATTAGTATTGTTGTCTTTTTTAGCTGAAAAAATAAATACATAATCAATTAACTTATTACCAAAAGATACTTCGGTTTAACTTCCAGTGTTTGGAAATTACTATTTTATGAAAACCACTGCTGCTTCTAAGGGGGGCATACATAATCTGCTTAATATCGGCATAGATACTCTAAAGATGCCCCCTAGCAGGTAATACATACATTGTTACTATAACACTTTTACATTTGAGTTCGAACACAAGTCTCTAAAGTAGGTTGCTGCTAATACCAAAAACTATATGAAGAAATGATGTGTGGCACTTAAACATATAAGTCAAGGTCATTAAATGAACATGTTTAAGAGTGCCTACATCTAATTAATACTCTTTTATTGTTGTTCCTATTTTATAAAAAAAAACTCAATTAATCTCTTCTCTCAAAACATTGAAATCAATTCCAAAATAAAACATAAAGAACCAATACCGTAAATGGAATCAATTAAAAATACTTGTATTAACACTAAATCCAAATCTTGCTGTCTGTTGATGATAAATGATCCAACTGACATTTCAAACCGCTGCATCCTGCCCTGTTAGTCCCTTGCAAAGCTGTCCAACGAAAGGTTTCCTTTATTGTAAACAACAATGAAGTGTGAAATTTGAAAAAACACAGATGCACCACCGGTGAACTACGAGCCACCAATCATTTGTAGTCTGTACCCAGAGCGGCTTTTGAATCCCTCCTTCTCTTCCCACCTCTTCAAATTCATTGGCTGCCAGAGGAGTAGCGACAATGTTTAATGCACCATGCGGTGTCCGGACTTCAGTCAGTGAGAGGAAGCGTTCTATGTGCTTAGGGCTGTGTTACGTGCAGACAATACTAACTAACGATTGTGCGTATATATTAAAGAAAATCATCCGCTTTTCAGACAGCAACAGACAGACTTGTGGCAGAATGCAGGGCTGTCGCTGACCACCTCCTCAGCAGCTGTCTCTCTGTGTGGACTTTGAAGAGGACGGACAAGGACAAAATGCCACTACGGGAATCAGTCACTCAGCTCTGTTTCGGACGGGGAGAAAAACAATAATCGCCCTTTAAAAATCTGCTTTGGATCTACCTTACTATACATTTGGATTTTTGTATCTTCCCATAGAGTTTTCTCTCCGAACAGTTGTTTTTCCTGAAGAACGGTGACTCACTGCGGGCAGAAGGCGAGTCGCTGCATCCTAATCAGACAGCGGAGAGGACTTCAGCTCATTGACATTACAGTCATACTTTTCTGGAGCACTTTTTTTTTTATTTCCACTGCGCTGCACTGTAGCCTGCGTGTGCAGCGGAGGCTTGTGGCTTTTCTCCCAGCACAGAGGAGGGAAAGAGGATACGGGTGGTGGGCTAACACGAAAGTGGTTAGAGAATGAAACTCTCCCTAAACCCTGCTGGAACTGACTGTTTTGGTTTTTACATTTATATTATTTGGACTATTACAGCACTTTTTTGGGTAAGTTTACGTTTGGTCTATAATGTGCTCCATGTAAATTCATGCAATTTCCCATTGAAATCCCTGTCAGTTGTTAATTTCTAAATGGTTGTTATTTCACAACCATCCTTATGCAAGCAGATGCAACAGCTTCTTCCAAGGACCGTTGAATCTCACATAGAGAGATAAAGAGAGAGACAGAGGGCATTAGTGGAGAGAATTACACGGCAGTGCTGAGATGTTGGCAGCTAATTTCCGAATTTTTATAAGGCTCATTGTAAATATCCGGATTATGCGGATTTGTTAATGCGTGTAAGAGGCTCATTTTATCCACACTTATTCAAATAGCCGCTACAATAGGCCATCTTCGGTTGTACGCCTGCAGGAGTATATTATTAAAGTTGTCCTTTTACAGTTTCATTCGGCTTTCTCATAATGTGCGAATGTGCAAACATTACGCTAGTGTCAGGTCTTGCATAAGGATGAATTAAGAACTGTATTTTGTTTCTAATGATACATGTCGTAAATAAACAAGAAAGAAAATCAGCATTTCCCTGTGTATGGGCTGCGCCGTGTCTTCCCAAGGTTAACTAATTGACAAGCTTCCCTATAATTGTGGAGATGAATTACACATGAGCCCAGTTTCATTTTTGGCTCAGCGGTGGATGTGATTTCTAACTGGCAGAATTGCTATTGTATTGTAGTCAGATTTGATTTGGCTGAATAATTGACACATATAACAAATATTTTTTTTTCTGTTTTTCTTTTTAGGTTGTATGAAGAAACACTTACAATGACTATTTTGTTCGGAGACTGGATCGCGATTATTGCTCAGATGAGTCTGGGCGCTCAGCTGAATATAAATTAGGTGTTCAGCGCCACAGATTGCTGGAAGAGGCAGAGGAAGAGAGAGACATAGCAAAGACAATCCACAAAGACAGATGCGAAGGGCTCACATGATGAACATAACTCTTTTTTTGATCCTGAATAATAGAAACATCACATTTGAACAAAATATCAACAGGTCAAAGGAAGCATAGACAAGAAACAGTTTATAGCTGCTTTTACGGAGTGGGGATGTATCTTTCTATTTTCTTTTTCCTCCTCCTATGGGCTCAAGCCCTGACATTGAAGAACTTAAATTACTCTGTCCCGGAGGAACAGGGTCCAGGGACAGTGATTGGGAACATAGCCAAAGATGCCAGACTCGGACTTGAACAGGTTGGGCCGGGACAGGGTAAGAAAGCCAACTTCAGGGTTCTTGAAAACTCAGCACCGCATCTCATCGACGTGGACCCTCAAAGCGGACTGCTGTACACAAAGCAACGCATTGACAGGGAAACCTTGTGTAAGAGAAACCCCAAGTGCCAGCTCTCCATGGAGGTGTTTGCCAATGACAAGGAGATCTGCATGATCAAAATAGATATCCAGGACATTAACGACAACTCACCCGCTTTCCCCTCGGATCAGATTGATATTGAAATTTCTGAAAATGCAATGCCAGGGACACGTTTTCCCCTGACCAGCGCGCATGACCCAGATGCAGGGGAGAACGGCCTGAAAACCTATCAAATAACACGCGATGACTACAATCTATTTTCGTTAGAGGTAAAATCCCGTGGCGACGGGACTAAATTTCCAGAATTAGTTATTCAACGACCATTGGACCGCGAAGAACGAAGCCATCACACCCTCATTTTGTCAGCCACGGATGGGGGCGAATATCCTAGGTCAGGTAACATGCAGATAAATGTTAAAGTTATTGATTCCAATGATAACAGCCCTGTGTTTGATCAACCATCGTATATTGTGGAAATTCCTGAAAATTCTCCTCCTGGTAAAGTGCTGATCGATTTAAATGCCACTGATCCTGATGAGGGCAACAATGGACAAGTAGTCTATTCTTTTAGTGGCTATGCCCCAGAGAGAATCCGGGAGCTCTTTTCCATAGATTCAAGAACAGGGGTCATAAAGATTCAGGGTGAAATTGACTATGAAGAGAGCCCAGTCATTGAGATTGACGTCCAGGCAAAGGATCTAGGTCCCAATCCAATCCCAGGCCATTGTAAAGTCACAGTTAAAGTGCTTGACAGGAATGATAACTGGCCATCTATAGGCTTTGTGTCTGTGAGACAGGGAGCCATCAGTGAGGCAGCACCTCCAGCCACTGTCATTGCTCTGGTCCGTGTCACAGACAAGGACTCAGGCAGGAATGGGCAGCTTCAGTGCAGAGTGCTGGGTAATGTCCCTTTTAAACTTGAGGAGAACTATGATAACTTCTATACTGTAGTAACAGACAGGCCCTTGGACAGAGAGGCGCAGGATGAGTATAATGTCACCATTGTGGCCAAAGACAACGGCATTCCTCCTCTAAACTCCACAAAATCCTTCACCGTAAAGATTCTGGATGAGAATGACAATGTTCCTCGCTTTACGAAGTCAGTTTACCTTCTTCAAATACCTGAGAACAACATTCCTGGGGAGTACCTAGGTTCAGTTCTGGCGCATGACCCGGACCTTGGCCAGAATGGCACAGTATACTACAGCATAATGAACTCCAATGTGAGTGGGGGTGATGTCAACACCTATGTTAATGTGAATGCTGCTAATGGAGCCATCTATGCTGTGAGATCCTTTAACTATGAGCAAATCAAGTATTTTGACTTTAAGGTTCTTGCTAGAGATGCAGGATCCCCACACCTGGAGAGCAATGCTACAGTCCGCATCAGTGTTCTCGATGTCAATGACAACATCCCTGTCATTGTTCTGCCCCTACTTCTAAACGACACGGCTGAAATCCACGTGCCGCGTAATGTTGGTGTGGGCTACATTGTCACCACAGTAAGGGCCGTGGATAATGACTATGGTGAGAGCGGGAGGCTCACTTATGAGATCTCGGATGGCAATGAGGAGCACCTCTTTGAGATTGATCCAGTGACTGGGGAGGTTCAAACAGCCCACCCATTCTGGGACGATGTGAACCCCATTGTGGAGCTGATAATTCGAGTATCAGACCATGGCAAGCCGACTCTGACTGCTGCCGCCAGGCTCATCGTCAAGGCCTCTAACGGACGTCCCCCTGATGGATTGCCACGCACAAAGGACAATCAGAACTGGGACATGTCCCTGCCTCTTATTGTAACTCTAAGCATCATATCCATCATGCTTCTGGCTGCAATGGTGACCATAGCAATCAAGTGCAAGCGAGAAAACAAGGAGATCCGTACATATAATTGTCGCATTGCAGAGTACTCGCACCCTCAGCTGGGGAAAGGCAAGAAGAAGAAGATTAACAAGAACGACATCATGCTGGTGCAGAGCGAGGTGGAGGAGCGGGATGCCATGAATGTGATGAATGTGGTAAGCAGCCCTTCCTTGGCCACCTCTCCTATGTACTTTGACTACCAGACACGACTGCCACTCAGCTCACCAAGGTCAGAGGTCATGTATCTCAAGCCCACTGCCAATAACCTCAGCGTGCCCCAAGGCCACGTGGGATGCCACACCAGCTTCACAGGCCCAGTCACCAGCACTACAGATACACCTACTAACCGCATGTCCATCATACAGGTAAGGGAAATTGCACTCCTCTCCTTCACTGTTATGCCACAATTTTCACGTCACAACCCTCAGAAAGCTCCAATTTCCTATATCAACATTTGTCCCTTGTTTTGTAAAATCAAAATAAAGAGGGATAAGGACAGGCAGAGGCAGAGAGGCCCAAGAGCATAGAGAAAACAAAGAAGGGAGGGGTGAGCATTAGAAGGATTAAACAGTAATTCCGGTGTTCTCATAGAACAGAGCCTGCGACATCGAAACAAATCAGTTGTGCCTGAAATATGTCACGCCAGGCCTTTGAAATCAGTTTTCATGTAGAAATGCTTCTTTAATCACTCAATCACTGTCGTTTCATTCCTGTGGAATAAAGAGTTTAGCCTGTTGCTGAGTTATAATCAGTTTATGTCAAAATCCAATTACTATTATTATTTTTTGAATATACTAACGTACTCTATTAATAAACTTGTACACACAGGCAGTCAATTCTATAATGCTCTACCACGACATTCAATTCTCTCAAGCAGTGACAAATAGGCGTTCACGGTTTCATGCCGTTGTTTAACATCAGTCATCAAATTCTATAGCACCTCATAGTTAAATATAGCGATTTTAATTCCTTGAGATTAACAGATTATACTTACTTTAATGGCTACTTTGTAGGACTTTGTGCATTGGACTTGGGTGTATAAGCCTCTAACGTGATAAGTTCTCTGTCTCTTCAGCCTTAAGCCAATTAAAAGTCTGTCGTGTCAGACAAAGATTAGGGCCTGCTTAAGACAGTGGTGTGCAACACTCGGGACAATGGGCAGGTGTAGCAAACAGTTTTACTTACCCCTACCTATTGTTCAGATATTCAAAAAAGAAATGATCCTTGTGTAATTTAACAGAAATATTAAACATCCCTCACTGAATTTTATTTTATAATGTTCCGCGTATGGCATTATACTAATTGGCACGATGAATGATTGACATTCCTCCCGTAAACCCTTTTGGACTGCAAATATTCGTCTCTCTATTAGGCTCTCAGCTGTCTTTTCTCTCCCACTATTTGTGCTGGATGTGGATGTGACGAGGACTGTGATCAGATGTGACGTCTTCTCACCAGGGAGGAAGGCCCCTGTCTGTTGTTCCCACTCTCAGTCTCAGCCCTGCTTCTTTTATGGCCCAGCTGCATAGGGCAAGGGTCAGCACAAAGACCGTTAAGGCTTTCTAATCAAAGGAACAGAATCATTTCTGTTCCATTCTCTGATAAAAGTAGTGATGATGAATTAGACTGTCTGAGACTGTTGCATATCCTTTTTGTGCACTTACTTTTTTCCCACTTTCAAAGGGAAACAAATGTGTGGAAACAATGAATTCCTTAGTGTCTTATTTACAGAGGGTCCCCTCAACGCATCAGACGTGCAGGGTGCTCTGTTGTATTATTCAACAGAAACCTGTGTAGAGGGAGATGACCTGAGGCATTAAGTTTCTTCAGAATCTGTACAGAAGCGTATCACTTTCCTCCCTTCCTCCCCTGCTTCTGCCTTCTCACTCCGTTTGTGTGGACAGTAAGTAACCTGAGTCACAGGAGAGTGGCTATGGGAAAAATGTCAGGAAACAAAGACAGAATTCCCCTTCCATCGATCCCAAGGCTTCTCAGCCCATCTGTCACTACGGTTGCCACGAGAGGAGAAGCTAAATAGGAAAAATAAATAAAGGCATGGATAAAGCAGGAGAGTGTATTGCCTGCTCAGTCAGTTTCACAAGGGCACCTTAGTGCTACTGTCTTCATCCGTACCTACTGTAGCTGCCTGCAACTCCCAGTCTTTCTCCACACTGCTGCTGGACTCTAATGATGTTTTATAGTGGTGCACTCACAGACAGGCTGGGCTTGGTCTCTATGTGGTAGAGGGGAATAATATGAACATATCAGCAGAGCTCTGCTGGCCTTATCATTGTCACCACCGTGCCAGCACCCGGCCCAGTGGAAAGCTTCATTTCATTTCTAAAGAGAATTCCTTGGATAAGGAGATAGATGATACGTAATGATGCCTAATTCCGCTTAAGGCGTAGAAGGGAATTACTTAGTGTAGAATCAAGGTTAAAACCAATCTGCCTCAAAATTCTTCAATATGCAGGAAAAAGGGATTTCAGTAAATTGTTCCAAAGAGTGAGGCTGCGCCCACTCTCCCTTGAATACTTTAGAGTTACCAGCTGTGCCAGGCTGTGGCCCACTGACTTGTTTTATAAGTTTCTCTGCTGCTTCCTTCCCATCTTTTCAAGAAGCTGCACTCATTGTCAGCAAACATTCTAAGACTCCTGTGTCATTACTTTTAAATGGCCCATAATTTATCATATTGATTTGTTTTGAGTAGTAATTTGATTCACCATGAAACTATAATTAAACTGAATCCTGTCTCGGCAGGAGACCATCCGTGTTAATAAGGTGCAGGTGGTACAGAGGCAAAGAGTCTGAAAGGCTATAAAAGCTGCCTTTAGGTGGCGACATTCTGCCTTGTGTCGGGTAGCATCGAGATCAGGGTGTCAAGGAGAAAGGGGGCTCTAGTCTCTGCTGACTTGACACTGTTTCTTGTCATCTGGTAGTGAGGCTCTTGCTGCTTATAATGACAAATATATCAGACATCAATTAATACCAACGCATGGAATATAAAATATATTTATTCTGTAATAGTATACATGACACTATTTTGTTAGAAGTGCTTTTATATAAAAATCTTTAAATTTACCATACAGAAGCTGAATTCATCAAATGTAAAATATGCACACATTTTTTAGAAAAAGCTATGCTGATTGATCTTTTCTTCATTTCATACTAAACCAAGGTCTCGAAAAATAATTTTTTTAATGACTGGCAGCCATAAACGTATTGAATGAATTTAGTTTTTTGAGTGCTAAAAAAAAGAAGTTAAGAGGTGTGACTGTAATCATTTAACTGGTGGGTAGGCAATATAGGAGATAAAATGTTCGCTCCTTTTGATCTGTTTACGTTGAGCTTGTGCATGCCAACAATTTAGCTAGAGCAGATGTTGAAAATGGGTGCTTCCAGGAATGGTCTTACTCTGTATAATTTAGGTAGAGTGTGTGTGTGTGTGTGTGTGTGTGTGTGTGTGTGTGTGTGTGTGTGTGTGTGTGTGTGTGTGTGTGTG